GCTTCTCTCGAAACTCAGAATCTCAGAAACCAACAGCAGGAAATTCTATAGGAACCCCCTGATTTTGGTGGGTATTTGGCTAACTTCCTGTAGAATTTCCTGGAGCTGGCCTCTACGACACTATCAACCTCACCACTCACCACAAGGAGTGGCCCCTGATCTGATTTGGCTGTGGGTCAAAACCCTGTACCCCTGCTAAACATCAAAACAGGTGGCAAATGGATGTTCATCCACCCCAAAATGGAGCCATAGGTTATGCCCCATGGCCATTTGACGTTTCGACCACTCAACCAGGGCTTCTGCGAGCGGCTCCGTGTCCTCCTCGCGGCTCCCGGTGTCGTCGCGAGCTAATGGTAGCCATGGGCCCAGCATTCCGGGCATGCCAATGAGATGGACAGCAGTTCAGCGCACTTTTTGTTCTTCTCACTTCCTGAGTTCATGAGCTTTGAACTTTTTGGGAAGACCATTTTAGTGGTAAATATCAAGTTTGGACTTTTTTTGGGCTATCCACTCAGCAAGTGAGTATTGCTCCCCTTTTGCCCCAAAAAACGGGTGCCAGGCCTTTCTTCTTCTCAACTGGGTAAGTAGATTCATAGGATGGATCTAGCCCATCGAAGGTTTTGGCCTTTACAGCTGGTTTGAATGATCTCATCTTGGACTTTGGATTGATCCATCCTGTAGTTGAGGCCACAGAATGAGTTGATGCCCGGAACCTGTGCCAATTGACTCACTTCCTGACTCCCCGCCTTGTTCGGGCTTCTCCTGGCCAATCCACTCAGGACGGACACTGAAATTGGAAGCTCAAAGATGTCCGTTTTTGGGGGCACCTTTTCTTGGTTTCAAAAGGAAACTAGGAGGACAACTCGCATTTCCATCTTGGGGCGTCCCCGAACAGACAGACCCCCCGAGGTTTTCCCCCGACGCCTCGCCCAGGCAACGGGATCGTGCACTCAAGATCTAGTCCACGACCCTTTGCCTGGGCCCCGTGCGGAGCTGTCTCTGTCAAATGGTTGGATTCCCACAACTTGATCTGAGTTTAGTATTGTTATTGATATGTCCTTTGATTCTATATTATCAGCATATTGACATTAATATTTCAAATTACCCTTGGATTTCCCCTTAAATGCCAGAAAGGGGTCCACCTATGTTGGCACACATTTGTTTGGGTGAATTAGTGACAAGACCCAATGGACGCAGGATGCGCGTTTCTTTCTGGGGAGCGCTTGCTTGATTCAGGCCTGTAAAACATTCTTATTCACCCAGGAACATGCTTGTTTGCAACAGTTCTCCGCGGGAGCTATGCCTATGATACACAGCGGGCATGAACCCTTGCGCATGTGTTATATCGGTTGGACGGGTGATGTACAGCCGACGACTTCCTGCAGTGAGAAGCAAAGGCTGTCCCCACTGTTGCGCTCAAAGAAAGGGAAGGACATCCTTCCGAAAAGGATGCTGCTCCAGCAGGGGCTAGCACATTTGGTGTTTCCCTTCCGCAAGTTTGCCCGTACGCCCCACATCTTGAATTTTGACCATCTTCGCCTTGCTATGTCAAAGGGAGGGGTGGTATGCAGGACAACTGCGTGGCCCTGACCCAAAAGCAACATGGACAACTTCGGAGGCGCTCTTGTTGTTCCAACTCGTGACCCTCGCAGCACTTGTTGTTCCAACTCGTGACCCTGCAAAGCGCGACCTAAGGCTCCATACAGGAACGGAGTCAAACCCTTCGATGAGAGGACTGAAGGGTTTTCCGTCTCGGGGCGTGGAGCCACGAGCTTTCGGCCGCACATTGCTTTGCCGAAGTACGGCTTTAGCGAAGCGATCCTGAGTTGGGATGGTGTGTACTCGGTCATTTGTTGGTTTGATCAGATGAGTTGGCCGGGGAGTCGCATTGTTCTCACTTCAAGCATGCCAGGTTTTCTCGTGCTTGTTAGGGTTCCAGGCCAAAGAGCACTAAATTGAGGGCCAACTAAGCCACTGCCGACAACTACTCAGAGGTTTTAGCAGGCCTAGATGACTGCTTCGAACAGCTTTGAAGGAGTCCTATAGCTAGCCTGCAGCACTATCCATGCAAGAGTTGCATCACTACACACGCAACTTTGGTCACTGCAGGTAGCCCTCAACAATCCCCTTGCTCCACAATTGCTCGACTTGCTGCACAACTCTCAGGGAAAGAGAAGTATTATCTATAGTTTGGATTTCACGTGTTTTGGCTTCATATGTGAGGAACGCACGGGAAGGCCTCATGCAAGTCTGTGGAATTATAGTAGCTGCTTCTTTGCTGATTGTGTTGCTACACCTAAAACGTGACACCATCAGGCACAACCGCTTGCAAGAGAGGAGGTTGTCTCCCCAAGCTTGCCTCAGCAGATCCAAACCGTCTGAAGTAACATCTACGACATAAAAGACTCCTCCCATAGCATACATTGGTTCGAGCAGCCGAAGGGCCAGGATGGAAATCCCCCCCAAGACCTGCAGTACTTGTTTTGGAGTTTGGGCAGTCTGTAGAACCATGGTGATATCATTTGATTTGTGCGTTCCCTGAAGCCCTGACCATTTGAAGGCTCCGATGTTTTGAGGTCAGTTGCGTGGCGCCCGCGCAGGAAGGGCCTTGAAACTGCCGAGGCCGGAGTGGTTGAAGGTTTTGTCTCCGAATGGTCATGTTGGCATTGCTGCATGTTACTTAACCCTTTATCTGACGGATTGCTGATGAATGTGTATATATATATATATATATACACACATGTTTCATACCCATGATATATGCACATATACTGTGTATATTTCATAGATGCACGCATATCTCACATACATTTGTGCCGCACATACCGGGTTCTGCGAGAAAAAAAACAAATCTACTCTCAGCCAATTATCTGCCCCTCGTGCCCCCCCGCGCCCCCAACTTCAATGTTGTTAAGGAGTGCTGTGATGTCTGAAGCCAGAATGGGTGTTTTTTTCCGCAGGCTTTGTTAGTACGGCCCACATCCAACTTTGAAGTTGGGGGGGTAAGGGGGTCAGCATCTGTTGTCACAATGGATTTGGGGGGATGGGCGTTTTTTTCGCAGAACCCGGTAGTAAAGCAAGATTACTGCGCCAGCACAGTCAGTACCATTCACGCCTCGAATCATGACCTCCATTTTCAGGATGCCCTGTCCCTGTGCAGTCAGACCCACCTGCAGCATTTGACTGCTTGGACCATTTAGCAGCCAAGCCGCGTGGATACTTTGGACTTGTTCATCATGCATCTTGCTGCTGCCTATGACGCACAGCCATGTTTCAGTGCTTGAATGATGCAGTGTCAATCAAAATCCTGAGCGCAGTCTTGGAAGCCAATTGTTCGGGCGTGTTTAATCAAAAGCGGATGCGCAGCTCCAGCCTGCCCCCTTTCCTGCCTTGCAGGAAAGAGTACTTTCAATGGCGCAGAACCACAACGGCTTGTCCGCAGAGGCCTGGTCGTGGCTGTTGTTTGAAAGGTGTTCGCATTGTTCAACACGAATGTCCTCGCATTGGGGATTCCCTTTGAATGGTTCTTTAAGCAAACTCAAAGGGAAAGCAATATATACATATGTATATGTCTGGGGTCCCCTGCTTTGGACAACTACCTACATGGACCGTCTTTCGGAAGTTGCACGCAAATGTTTTGAAAACCGGTCAGCATCCTGAAAGGCATCCTGAAAGGCATCCTGAAAGGCATCCTGAAAGGCACGGCACTTGTTTGTGTTGTCACTAAGGATAAGTACTTAGACTCAGATCCGCAAGATTGTGCCTCAACATCCCATGCTTGAAAGTGCGGCAATGGCAATGGTGATGATCAAGTGCCCGCGCAGTGACATCTGCAGATAGCATGTTTAGCATGAAGGAGTGGCATTTCGTTTAGTTTGAATTGCGTGGCACGTTTCAGTGGCTTGCACTGTTTTGATTGGAACTGTCAAAGTTTCCTTGAGGTGATTGAGGTACCCAATAGTTTTGCATGCCTTGGCATGGCCGGTTGCGTCGCAAAGGCCAGTTTCGCTTTGCCCAAAGTAATCACTGTAGCAGCGAATGTTCATTGCCACATCCGGCACGGTGCAGTGACTAAAAGGCAGGGTCAACAGAACTCTAGCAATGCGGTGTCTCTTTGGGGGCGGCCAATTTAGAATCTCGCCATCGTCTGTTAGGGCTGCTTTGAACGTCGGTGGTGTGCTGAGTTGCCACCAAATGTAGGTGTGACGTTTGGACGCCTGTTTCCTCACAAAGGATGATCAGGCGGATAACTTTGATTGCTTTCCTGCGTTAGATACCGAGCACAGTGGCCCCTTGGGGTTTTATTCTGGTTGCATGGTTTCCATGTTCCTGTTCTTGTGTTTCCGAAATTGGACGGGCTGCCCTTGAGCATGGTGACAATTGCATCGGCGCAAGGTGGACAGGATGAATGAGCAACTGCTGGAGGACCGGGCTTGCACCGGGCGTTGCCGAACCCACGTCGTTTTTTCAATTTCTTTTCGGGCGGAGTTTGATTGGTGGTTCTCACAATTGTTGTTTGTGTGCGCCTTATTGTGTATATTTGGCATGTCGCAGCTTTCCTGCTTGTCTTGACAACATCGATCCTGTCACAGCTCTTTTCCCTGGGGCAGTGCCTGAAAACCCTGCCCCTGCGCCGTGTGGGCGAGTGTTTGGTGCTGAGGGAACATGTTCCTTGTTCAGAGGTGCCGAAATTCATCCTAGGTCGGGGCTGCACGGTGGAGGAATATCATCCCAGCGTTTTGCACATCGTTCTGCGCACCACTTGTCGCTAGCACAGGTTTAGTACGCCTCCACTTGCAGAGAGAAGGCCAACTGCCTTGGTGGTTTCGTCCCATCGCTTTGTGGTTAGGCCAAATGTGCCAAGGGCGCAGGCAACAATAAGATCGCCTGTCCATGCTTCCCAGAAGGTGTTGCGATGCAAATGTCTGGGTGAATTATGACGACCTCACACGACCTCACCCCAAATGGTGGTTTATGTGGGGAATCCCAACCACCTTATTTCAGGTTGGTGAAATATTATAGTTCATCCAGAAATGTAAAGGGCCGTGGTGCTGAATGAGTCTGAGACCAAACAGCTACAGCTTTGGTATTGGCTGTGGGTCAAAACCAATGGTATAGGTGCACCACCCATTTTAGTCTATTTTAGTGGGGATTGGGATGTTCACTGGGGTACGGGCTTTGACCCATGGCCATTTAGAGCGTCGACCCCGGCTTCGCAGGTTGGAGGGCACCAAACACCAGACGAGCGCGAGGAGCTCATGAGCAAGGCGCGAGGAAGTTTCTGGACCCTGAGCGTTGGTGAAAGAGATCCAAAGCGGGGGGTTGTCACAATGGCTCCGGTTTGGACACTTGTGCCTTCCCTTCAAAGTGGATCCAACAAGGGCCCTATCAGCCAATGTCAAGCGTTGTTGCGCTTCCTATTCTACGTTCTTGCTTGCAAAACCTGTCAAGCAACACATGAGGATTTGTTGGTTGGCTGGACGCGCTCACGGGAAGCGACCGATCAAGGCTCGCATTGTCCGTTGGTTTCAGCACAATAATTGTCAGAAGGCAGGTGTCACTGGCTTGGCTGCTGTCTTTTTTGGCCTTGCAGGGAGGTTGCTCTTGGAAGCCATTGCGGGTTCCAAGTAGCCGTCCGTTTTTGGTGGCGTGCTTGCTTGTAACTGTTCAAGCTCATGCCTGAGCCATGCTCAAAACGGAGTGCTGTCGCTCAGAAGAGGCGTTAGCGACTTGGTTCAACCACGCGTCCGTTGCCAATGAGTCCCTTTCCTTTTGGGTTGCCCTCCAGGCCCTGCACAAATTGCCCACCAAGCTTTCTCACTGTCACACGTCACACTAGTAATTGCTGCTCGTCAGCAAGCCTTGATCCATTCATGGGCTCTTGACCAAAGTTCTACAGCACGGTTTTCGCCAGACTATGATCTGCTCGTTGCCCAGCGACTTTGAAGCCTCAAGTCACATCTATGTTTACATCTTGGTGTCTCACTGGCAGGTCCCACTGCCGATTCTGTTTGGCTAGGCTTCACAGACTACAGGCAGGGTCCATAGGATAATCTTGTGTATTGGGACTTCAGCATGTGAGTTACAACATGGTTTCCCGGTTTTGGAGCGGTTGAAAGCTTGGAGCATGCTAAAATCTGCCCCGAGCTCCGGCAGGTTGGGAGCCTTCTCACGGAGGTGGACTCTCAACTCAGTTCTGGCAAGCAGATCCAGCAGGGCAGGCCGGTGTGTCTCGCGTGGGGGCAACGGCTCAGGCATGAGACCGGGATGATGCGAAGAGTTTGCTTTTGCCCAAAATGGCTGTGGCTCAAAATCCGGTACCAAAATGGAACCCTGGTAACTGGAAACATGGACCAAAACCTGCGTAACCCCTCCTGTTTGATTTGAGCCACACCCAAATGGTCTTGGAACACATACCCAATGCTGTCATGGCGAGCCACGAGCAGCGTCACGAACGGAAGAACGGATTTGCTGCCAAATCCGTCTTTTCTGGATGATTTCGGACGCGTTGCTGGTTGTTTTTGCTGACACGAAGGCGGCAGTGCCTGTCCGGATGAAGCTCCGAGGTTTCAAGAACCACTTGTTGAATGAGCACGTGATGTCGTTTTGGCAAGCGGTAAGACAAATTTAGGAAAAGGGCTGTTGGTGAGCTGGCCAGGCGCAAGTGGCAAACTTGCCCGATCCTAAACCCAGTGCCCAGTGGCGCCGTTTTTTCCTTTTTTGGGGACGGGTTCCCCTGTAAACTCAACCAACCAAAAAAAGGGGCCCGTTTTTCCCCATGGCCACTGGGCAACTGAGTAAACAAGACCTTGTTGCAGTTTCAAGTGTGCGGAGGATGTTCATGTGGATGCTTCGGTGGTTTTCGGGCTGACTGGAAAGCCAGCTGCCAGGGATCGGGCCAGGAAGGACCGGAGCTCAGCTTCGGGGTCTCCGTCGGTTGCGCGGAGAGGCACGGGTTGGGCTTAAGACTTAAGCCATCTCAGACTGGGGAAGCCTTGTCTGGGGGCAGCAACCAATCCAACTTGGAGCCTCCAAATTGAACTCATGCTGCTCTAGATGCATGAGACAGCGCAGACTTCCAAGATGAGATGGCGTGCACCTGAATCCCTCTGAGCCTATCCTGTCATGCTGAGGCTGCAGAAGCTGCTTTGCAGGCCACGCAGGCGGGTCTTGGGGCGTGAGGGCCTCACAGCCCTGTGCAACGGATGGTACATTTGTTGCCATGTTCTCTCCATTCCTGTACTTGTTGACAGCAGCGAGCTGGAGGTGTTTCCCCTTGTGGCAAAGGCGCATGCAAGCCGTTTTTGAGAGAGAAGCACAGGTCAGTACACATGTGACTAAGGTAAGTCCGTTGGCACTGAGTGCTTCACACCTTTCCAAGGATGCAAAGATGGGATGGGCGTGGGGCCCTGTGAGGAATTTGACACTTGGACTGGTCATAGGCACATGTCGATTTGACAAGTTTGACGCCCATTGACACTTTGCTTGCCAGCCTTGGACATGTGCCTTCACGCCCATGTCGACTTGCAGACACATCGACACTTACATCAGCACGGCCAATTTCTCCGAGGGGAACGCAAGTGCGAGAGGTAGAGCTATCAAGCAACACAAGGTATGACTGACCCGCTCGTGTCGAACCGAACAAATTAACGGCCAGAGGGATGAAGATATATATATATATATATATGCAACCCTTTTCTCATGGACCCTGGTTTTACTGCCTTTTGGGGATGGCAAATCTAGAATTTCCAAATTTATATTCTCGAAACTTCCAATTGTGGGTCCCCAAAGCGTGATAATTTGGAGCCCGGAGTCCTCCACAATGTCCCAGATACCCTTTCCAAATAAGATGTTACTTCAACTATAATTGGAATTTTGATTATAGTTTAGTATGGATATAGTTTTCAAAAATGTGTTTATGTTCAATTACAGCTTAAACAAGCAAATCCTTTCCAAATAGCAGCTACATGAAAATGTAAATATATATATATATATATATATATGGTCGGCTAAACTCCAACTAATCTATAACACAAGAAGTTAGATGGAAGTCTTTTTTTCCCAAGTATAATCCAAGTGGTAAAGATAATCTAAGACGAACACAACTCAATTTGCTTTTGATAATATCAAGTGAATAGAGACTTACATCTCAAATATATTTCATATTAAATATGGCTAAACATTTGGAAATTCAAAATAGGATTTGGGTTATTTACATTCTGGCCCTTTTGTAGCATAAGAAAGGTCCGACATTGAACTTGTTAGACGGTGTTCCAAAGGGAAATTTCAAGGGAAGAGAGGTTCAAAATCTAAAACTATCTCGAAACAGGGATTCTAGCTAAACCGTTGTATTTAAAGTTCTATTTGCGCAGGAAAGTAAATTCTATCTCAAAAGGTGGAGGTAGTAGATGAGCAAATGTGGACAGGTAGTTCAAGAGGGTGGGGGACGGTGTGTGAACGTACATACATATGTATATCTATATATATACACACACACATACACACATATATAGTACCCCCAATGATCCTACGCCTCCTCATAAAATACTGGAAAATACAGCATTTTTGAGCGTTACACCTGCCTTTGTTTACCTCCTGGAAAGGGGTCAACATGAGCATAGCTGACATGAAGCTCACCAAAAGCACTTAAAAGTTTGTCTAACCAATAACTTGAAAGTGTGTCCACTGGATCGCTAAGCACTTGAACATTTGCTACTATCGGATGGAAGATTCAAGATTGAAGATTACACAGAAAACTGTCCTGAGAATTGTCAATCCTGGCCAAACCCAAATAGCATTCAAGTTCTTCTAACACTTGAAAGTGCTTTACCACTGGATTGGGGATTCAATATTGAGGAGCCCACAAACCACCACTTTCCTGAGAATCATCCATCCTGGTCAACCCCTAAAATGTTCAAGTTGTTCTATCACCTCGAACATCCGTTACCACTGGATTGAAATATTTCACGGAAAACTTTTCCGAGAATCATTGAACACGGAGAGTATTGGGACAACCCTGGAATTTTTAAAACTTTTTAAAAATTATGGGATTCAAGATTCAAGATTTCAAGATTCCCAGAACATATTCTCTCAGATTCTTGAATCTTGAATCTTGAATCCAGAATTTTTTAAAAAACTTTTAAAAATTATGGGATTCAAGATTCAAGATTCAAGATTCCCAGAGAATATTTTCTCACATTCTTGAATCTTGAATCTTGAATCCCAGAATTTTACAAATTGTTAAACATGTCTGAGTTGTTCTTGTATTCTTGGATGCATTCAAACTCTTTCAGATTGCAGGTGCTGATGTCATTGCTTTTATCACATCTGTATGCATGCATGCGTATCATATACATGTATGACCCTCCCCCCAATTTTGACACAAATCCAAGAAGCAAAATAAGCATAAAACACTGGAAAATACAGGTCAACCGCACCAAACCAGGGTCCATGGGGGGGTACCATATATATATATATATATCATGGGTGCCATTGACCAGCTCAAGCGAAGGATGTTGAAGAGTTTGGGTGCTCGAGAGTCTGACCATCGTCCGAGACTTGATATGATAAAAGGTTGCAAGATTTCATTCGGGTGAGCTTCCAGATTTAACGCCATTCGCTTTGAGACAGCCTACTTCCTCTTTGAGACAGCCTACTTCCTCTTTGAACACACGCACACACACACACACAGCACGCATACAGCACACACACACACACACATTCAAACACACGGAGCACACACACAGACACACACCAAAGGCCGTGTGCTATTGGTAATCAATGCGCAGGCGAATCAGGTGGATGTGCCCACGCGAGGCGTGGACGCAGACGTGTCAGGTTGACCATTTTGGGTGTTGAGATCAAAGAGGGTTGGTTGCTTTACTTGAAGAATCCTCGTCAGCAGCCTCCAGTAGTCTATATAGACGAGCAGAGTGGGCTGGTGTCGCTTCGCACGATACGTGAATTGTGTTTGCTCTTCAACATTGCGTACTCTTTTTTTCTTTTCTTGCTTGCCTTTTCTTTTTGGTGTTGTTTGGACATCTTTGCACATGATGCCCTTCCATTGGCGCGTCATGCCCCATGTTGTCAAGAGAGATCCTGGCTTGACGCGGGGCTGTGCATCGTGACATAGTGTAGATTTAGGTTTGACCCCCCCAGCAAAACATCAGCCGGCTTATGGCGCGGCTGCCTTCCGCTGCTACGCGTTGCAACTCATCATTGCACGTCACACAAGCTTCCCACCGCCACACACAAGACACTGACCTTGGCTTGTATGCGCGCTCAGGGCCAATGGCGAGTGAAGGTATGACAAAGGCATACCTGAATGATGTGTTGGGGACATCTGAAGTACATATTTAGGAAAGTGGCTTTCGATGTTCCAACCACTTACCATGTATACTACAAAGAAGTCGAGACGCCATCACTGGTTGCTGACGATCATTTCGAGCATCTGGGGTTGCATACAAAGAAGCCTTTGCGAGCAATTTTGTAGGGGCAACAGTTGGGAAGCGTAACAAATGCATGCTGGTGCGACATAGCAGCAGCAACGTACCAAGCAGACATGCTTGTTGACAGTTGTAGCTTGACATGCGCTTTCGTATTCAGCATCATGCTCACCACTCTCAATTGTGTGCTTGAAAAGGGTAGCTCACCTTCCGTTGTTGTGCAATGCAAAGCAGAAGAAAGACATGTTGGCTCTGCACAATCAGGATGTCTTTTTCCACAATGCCCCAATGCCCTCAGGCGAATCATGTTGAACGTTGTGGGCATGGGCCTTCGTTGGAAAACACACGTTTTTTTGGTTTGCCGCACGGACAGAGCAAACTTCCATACGGCGGCTTTTCCAAGCTTGTACGAAGGCTCCGAGTCGGATCTCGCGCCGGAGCCCCAGTGGCTGCTGATGTGTAGAGTGCAAGAGAAAGTGGCCGTGGTTTCTCTCCGAATTCGAATTGGTACACGGTATGTACTGTCTATATAAGGCTCCTTGAAATGAACCAGCAGCAAGTCATATCACAATCACACACACAGAGGGAATTCTTTGGGCTGACTGCTTTTTGTTGGCTGCTTGAGGCAGAAGGGATCACCTTGTGCTGATCCCTAGGAACCTGCGACTTCAAGAGGAAGTTCAGAGGCTCACGGAGGAGAATGCGGAGTTGAAGCGGGCGGCCCAGGCGGGCTTTTAGGTACGGAGGTACGCGTCCCTTTCTGAGCTACGAAACAGGTTCCCTTGGTGACCCTTGGTGCTTTCTCGTGGGAAGCGAACGGCACCGACCTGGCAAAGCGTTGAGTGAGGGGTGTGGGTGTTGTGTGGAGTTGGCCGGATTGTGCCGATGTAACTTTAAACAAATACAAGGAGCAAGTTGAATTGTGAGGACCCATGTGGAGGGGTCATTCGAACCCCGTGATTGCGCTGACATGTTTTCCCAGATGCAGCTCGCTTTGGGGTTGGCTGCATGCAAATGGATGCAGCGCGCCAGTGTCAGCGCTCCTGTCCTTCGAGCATGCGCCGAAGGGATTCGTTTAGGCCTATCCCCAAGGGGGCCTCAATTTTTCCTCCTTTTTGGTTGTGCCTGCCCAAGCCACACCTGTTCCCACCCGCCCAGTGGCAGAGTTGAATTGGCAGGAGCTTCAGTTGAAGCGACTTACTCACTTTCGAAAGACCACTTGGCAGGATCACACCAAAGCAATAGTGCATGGTAGTGCTGGACCAAAGAGACTCTGCGGGCAAGGCAAACACACATCATACAGTTGAACTGGTGCTTGTTAGGAGCAAGTTCGTTTGACTTGGCGGCACTTTCTCTGAAGGAAATGGATACGGGAGCCAAAAGGAAAACGTGGCCACTTGCACAACATACCCTGTGCCAGGCATTTCCTCATCTTTGGATTTCTGTGGTTCTTTATGCCACAGTCAGACTCCCGAGCTGCATCGCATCCGGCTTCGGTTGCGCCTAAGATGTTGCACATGTTTCAGCCAGCTTTCGGCTCCGGCAGGTTCCAGGAGTCAAGGGTATGGTTCGTTTGGCGTTGCGATTGCACGCTTTTCAGCCGCCTTTTTGGTGCGGTTGCTTGGTCCAGGGTGTGGTTCTTCTTGGTCGACTTGTGTCGCTGCAAGTCGCAAGCCGCCAGCCGCTGATTCTGCTGGTGCAGGCCTCGGCCTCCGCGTTGGCGGAGCTGCGCCGGGAGCGGGACACTCTGCGGGACGCCGCCCAGGCGCGGCTAACGAACGAACGGGCGAAGAGGAAAAAGAAACTGCTGGGGGTTTGGGGGGGAGGGGGGGGGTTAGGTCAACGTGGGCGGCGGCTCTGTTTTTGTTTTTTGTCGGTCAGCCCATTGCGTAACAAATTGAGCCCTGGGTTCGTATTGGAGCGTGATTGTTTGACAGTTTGGACATCCTGCGTATTTTTGCAGTGCGAGACGCTGGAGCGAGCGATTCCGATATGGGGATGAGATGAGCTGCGCACTCACACCGACTTGGCCACCAGACTGCTTTGATGTTTCGCCCCTGTCTGATCTGCAGTCACAGCCTCGCCAGTGCGCAAGGCACATTGACGTTTTTGTTGGGAAGCATGCTCTTGATTCATGCGCTTGCTGGGATGGACTCGGGCAAGTGTTGTGGGGACTGCTCGAAATGGGGCCCGCGCCCCATTTTTTTTTGAGAATCAATTAATTACTGTATCCTGAAGCAGCCATGCCTTGCCGCCCCGCGCCAGGGCTCCCCCTCCGATACCTCTCAAAGCCACCTGGATGCCGCGGTACGCCTGGGATGCGATGGTTGGTCAATTTGGGTTCGGGCGTGCCGGGTGCTCATTGAGTGCCCCGAGTTTGCGGGATTCCGAAAGGTACGTGGCTTTCTTTCCCCGACTTGTTGACTCGTCCCTGTTGGGGCTCATGTGGTCTTGTGGGTCAACAGTCGATGGGACCTGTTGTTGAGATTTGCGAAAGTCCGCCAAGAGTCTTCCGATCTCAGAGGAAATGACTTGCACTGAGGAGCTACAGCACCCAATGGAAACAGGTTGCGGCTTTGAAGCGCTTCTACGGGTCCAGGCGGTTTCTGATGACCCCGGACCAACAGATGTTCTTCCAACAACAGCATGGGCCCACGCGACTCCTAGAAGTTGGAACAACTGCCGCATTGAAGCAAGCAAGGCGTTTTTGCAAGGTTCTCAAAGACTTGACAGAGCTTTTTTCCGAAGGACGTGCCAGCATCTTAGAAGCTGGGGACCCCTGATGCGCAGCAAAACGCTAACGCGGCGAAGCCAATCCGCGTGCCAGGGCGCGCAGATGGAGCTCGCCAGCCTCCGTCAAGAGCGCGACCAGCTGCAGAATGCGCAGCAGGCGGGGGCGGAGGGCGGTGGGCGGTGGGCAAAGTCATGGCGCTTTGCACGATAAGAGAGTCGTTTTGGGCTCCCGCTGTGTGTTTGGCTTGTGCTGCCATGTGTCCTGTGTGTTCCTTGAAGCTACCCTCTGGGACCAATTTGCCTTTGAACGAGCCAGACCTTTAAACCTTGGAAAGCAGCTTGATTGAGAGTTACAAAGTTCCCTGCGTTTCTCCTAGCAGTACAACTCCCACCTATGCAATGATGCCATATTGCATACATAAATATACGTATATTCTTATAGCACTTGCATGTTAGCTTTGTTGTTCCCCCAATCATGGTAGGAAGATGCCGATGTCCTGCATCCCTAGCATCAAGCATCAAGATGCATTTGCGTGTTAGTGTCGCAGACTCAAGCCCATTGTTCTGATTATTTCGGGGTTGCCCAAAGGATGGTATCTGGCACTCAGCATATGTTTTGCTGAATTATGCAACGACTTTCCAGAGAATAAACGAAACATGTATTGTGCATACTTGAGATTGTCAATGCACAGTGTGCTCCGTTTGCATGCGAAGCCCCTGTATACAAGAAGAATTGCTAACGTGCCTGGGCATGTTGCATTCATGCTGGCGCTCTGCAAATTTATGTTTTTGACCTGCTACACAGACTAACCCAAGCGCAAGAAGCGGACCATGGATGATGAGGAGTACAACATGACGAACGCCAGCAAGATCAACCTACCTTTCAAATTCCGGGTAGATCCACTTTAGACCGACCTAAAGTGACCAAACTTTGGCCCAAGAGTTTCCGTAAAGAATGGAGCTTGACCTTATTCTCATTCGAGACCTCGCCATTTATCAGCGCACAACGACTTCCTACAGCACCACCAGATATTTTTCTTGCGAAATCCTTTGTCCGAAAAATTGTCAGTTGTGCCGCTGAATGTTGATTTTAACATTTGAATTTGGAATTTGATGGATCAGACGACGTGCCTTGCTGTTGCCGCTTTCTGTATAAACTAAAAGTGTCTTTGTTTTGACAATATTGACAATATGTTCCTCAGTGATTATCTATGTCAGTTTCTTGGCGGAGAAAAATACCTACAAAATTGAAAAGATGGGTCACTTGCTTAAAATAAGTTGTTCAGCCTTTTTTCAGGACTGCTTTTTTTTTGCAAATAAGAGCCAGCTTCAAATCTTGCCAGAAAACAACCAAAGGCCCTTTGACCAGAAAAGCTTTGAACGTGCTCGGAGGTTTTGATCGAACGGTTCTGGTGGCGGCCCGAGCAACTGCTGTTTGAGAAATCAAAAGCACCCTCGCAAATGTTGGCTTGGGTACAAAATGCCAAGCAGGTTTAAGGCAAAAACCAGGGTGGTCCGTTTTTAGGTTTTTTCAAAGTGCGTCAATATTTGATTGGCCATGCACGACAATGGTAAAACGTTTTAGGATGTTGCTCGGAATTATTGGCCATGACTTTGTGCAGTTCGAAGCTGTTGCTTTGCGTTTGCTGGCTAGTGTCGCAACGGTGTTTGGTGCTCGCAGAAATGGACAGGGCGAAGTCATCTGGGACGAGCGTCTTCCAAGCTTGCTCCTTGTTTGTTTGTGGTTTGTATGTTTGCATGGTATCGCCTGGATGTTCTTAAGACTTTAAGACGCATGACAGTCTCCTGTCTTCCAGTTTAAAAGGGTGGAAATTGGATGCAAAAACCGATTTTGCACCGTACAACGGGTTAGCAAAAGCAGGAAAACCCAAGGCTCATAGAACTACTTGAGCTGGTATTTAGCCCGGGGGAGACCAACCTATGTGAACTGCGCCAGGACTCAGAGGACACAATCAAAAGGCTGCAGCACACCATCGACAAGCTTCACCAAGAGTCCCATGATCACAAGACGATGGCACAGGAGCATGGGCAAGGGGCAGGTCAGCAAGTTGGCAGGGGTCTCCTAATTTGACCACCCCCTTTGTGAATGTGAAAATGGCCGCACGCGTTGCGACCATAGGTGGCCTTTTTGGCTGCTTTGCTAGAAAAATAGATGGCCCTGGTTGACCTGGTGGTTTTATCATCTACCAGGAAAATCTATTTCCCCTAAAAAGACACCTATGGTTGGGACCCGGCCCCAAACTTGGCAAATTTTGGCGCATCTCAGGAGGAGCTCCGACAGCTCCAGAAGCAGAACGAGGACCTGCGCCAGGAGCGCGACAGGCTTCGTGACAGCGCGCAGGCGGGGCCGCGGGCCGCGGGGCCACGGGGCCTGGGCTCCGTGCGAGGGTCGTGGCGAGTTTTTTCAGCGGGCGATGCCAAGTTTTGTGCCTGACTTTGAGACATTTTGAACGTTTTGATGGTTCACACGGCATCCGCACTCCTTTACCAACAGCGCATACCATTTGCCCCTTGATCCCCTTGCACCCTTTAGTTGGTACCTACTTCCCACCTCCAAGCAAGCTCCGAGACAATATCCCGCTTCCCCCACTTTCAATCCAGGACTATCTCGAGTTTACCAGGCCAAGAAGAACATCTCTTTTCTGCGACTTACAAGGCCTCACACATCAATTTACCGTGAACGGGGATCTCTATAGATCCGAACCTGATGCATCACTCGAATTCTGTGTGAATTTGTGTAGAGTCCCATTGATCCATTTCATAGCTTCCTACGAGGGTTGTATAGTTGACAGGTGATGCCCCGAGAATCTGAGAAGCCAAGGGTATCTTGCTCCAAGGCCTCCCCGAACAGCTCCTCCGAGAGCCGACTGCGTGCGGCGGGAGCCTTAAGCCGAGCGAGAGCGCCTGATGCACCTCGCAGGCCTCTGAGAGCCACTTTGCAACTAGAATTCTTGGATTGTGCTCACAGACACACAGAGAGACAGCTGCGAGACAGCTGCTGCAGCTGCTGCACTTGCTCCGCCTTTGTTAAGATGGCGAACAAAGTAACACAGTCCATGAGA